TTCAATAGGTCCCGGGTTTGAATCCAGATAGCGACAGTAATTATTCTACTCTAAAATTTTCTTTTTTCTCTCCTTTCCTGCTCTCTAGCAATATTCTGTCGTCTGCTTTCGACTCCACTTTCTGTTCCCATCCCTTCACCTCCTTTGACCCCTCCTCTGGGTTCCTGACTCTTTCTGCAGCCTTTTTACTGCTACTCCCTTGCTCCTTTTTTTGCTGTCTTTCAGCCACACCCCTGATCTGATGGTAGGAAAGATCTATGCCTAGCCTTCTCGGACGAAGGCGTAAAATCTCGGAGGTCTCGTGTGCAAGTTGCGCCCGTTTAAGATCCCTTGGGGGTCCAAAAGCGATAGGAGTAGGTTTCTGCTGCCACCCGGAGAAAATTCAAAATTTCCTATGTACCAACTGAAAAATGTTTAATGTGTCCCGCGGGCTCACATGACCTTATGCAGTTTTGAGCACTGTTAAAAAAAACTTACTTAAACAAAAACTCTGTCCTGTCTTTCTCTCTCTCTCTCTCTCTCTCAGAGATAGAGAGAGAGAGAGAGAGAGAGAGAGAGAGAGAGAGAGAGAGAGAGAGAGAGAGAGAGAGAGAGAGAGAATGACAATGACAACATGGCAGTGAGAAAGCGAGAGCCTTTTAGTTTTAGTTTTAGTTTCAGTGAGTTTTACGGCACTTGCAATACAATAAGGTCATATATAAGTGCCGAAGATAAGAGGTGTTACAACAAGCGAAGACAGCCTTCCCAATGCACAGAAAACATAGGCGTAGTTTCCCCAACAAGCCTTTTGGAAGAGAACTTTGACTAAAAGTTTCCTACTCTACTTTCAAATTCATAATAAAATAATCAAAATCGTTGAAAGACACCAGAATTTCGTGACAGTGCGTTGAACGTTGGTAATAGCAGACCGACCCACAATTCAGTCTATGAGTCGTTGAAAAAGAGCTCCATCAATGAAAACAATAAATGTGTCGCGTTTCCCTGAGCGAATGGTATTCCACATTTTGGTTTAATTAGCTAGTGCGGTACTCAATCAGTTTTATTCTGTTTTCGTTTAATTTGAGTAACGAGCAGCACATTGAGGCAACAACGGTCATTTAATGCTGAGGAAAACGAAAGACATAAACAGAAGCAAAGATATGAAAGAAGTAAGACCTACCAGATATCCAACTTCATTTATTTTAGATAGACCCCCCCCCCCCCAACCTTAAAAAAAACAACAACAACAAAAAACAACAACAACATCCCTCCTTTATACGTATGCAACCCAACACTTGGTTCTCAAGAACTGTTTCAGAAAAAAAAGAGAGTGATGCGAATCTCAACCCTCCAGCACAAATGTCTTTCTTGCGTTCTCCCAACTAGAATTCAAAGATAGTCAGCTGCTGGCTCTTCAACATACAGAGCAAATGATTTTTAAATATATTATTAAGATCGTTTTTTCCTACTTCGTAGAGCCCCTTGCCTTCAGGCAGTCACAGTTCGATTTCAATGGTACTCTACAAGTTTTTACAATGACTAGAGTATTTAAAATTTTGCCCGGGTGGCGACCGAAGTTTACTCGTATCGATTTTAGGGCCACCAAGGGATCCTACGTGACCTAGATTTTTTGCCCTTATCTGAGAAGACTTCTCATTCGGGGAGATATGAAGGCCACCATTCAGTTTGACGGTTCAACATCAAACGGCTTCAACATCAATAACGGAGTAAAGCAAGGTTGTGTCTTAGCACCAACCATTTTTAGCACTTATTTCGCTGTCTTACTGAAACATGCATTTAAAGAGTCACCAGGGGATGTCTTCCTCCACCGGAAGACTGATGGGTCGCTCTTCAATCTTGCTCGACTCAAGGCCAAGACAAAGATCAACAAAACAACAGCACGAGACCTTCTCTTCGCCGATGATACTGCTCTTGTTGCTAACAGTGAATCAACCCTACAAACAACGATAGACAGCCTATCAACAGCATGCAAGGTCTTTGCTTGGTCATCAGTGTTAAGAAAACAGTCATCCTTACCTAAGAAGGTGCAGAGCAGAGCCATATATGGCTGAACGCCAAGGAACTTGAGACAGTGGACAAGTTCTGTTACCTGGGGTCTACCATCAGCTCTACAAAATAGTAAATCACTTGATTAGGAGATTAAAATCAGGATAGGGAAAGCCGCAACAACTTTTGGTAAGCTGACAAAACGAGCATGGGAAAACAAAAAAGATTAATCATCAAAACAAAGACCAAGATTTACGAAGCATGTGTCCTCAGCACACTCCTTTATGGATCAGAAACATGGACCTTGTACAGCAGGCAAAAAAAAGCGCCTCGACATTTTCCACCTCAGATGCTGCCGCAAGATCTTAAACATTTCGGGGTGTGACAAGGTTACAAATGTTGAAATGTTGGCACGGGCAAACCTCCAGAGCATGACAACTATCCTGAGTAAATGGCTGGGCCATGTGAAGAGAATGGACGACAACCGGATTCAGAGGCAACTTCTCAATGGAGAACTTGCCCAGGGAAAGAGACCAAAATTAAGGTACAAAGACACCTGCCCTTGCACGTAAATTAAGTTCTTATTCTTATTGAACAATCACTGTACTTGTTCAATGCTCAAATGGCCTTCATTCAGATAGTATGGTTTCTTCACAAGGATCCACTTCACAAAATCCGAATATTAGTATTCTAAATTCGTCATAAGAACGCCACTTTATTTTATCTGTAGTGAAATGCACCTCTAATTTCTTTTCTGAATAGATAACAACAGAAAACGGAAGCAAGGACTCCTTGGAAGTTAATTTGCTAGACTAAAGAAAAAGAGTTAAAAGCCCTTAGTGAAAAGTGTCAATTAAGTCAGACATTTCTCGTGCTAAATAGTAAGAGCAATACATGTATATATATATTTAATTGGTATATATAAATATTTTAGTTGTATATATAACTGATTAAGTTTACATGACTCGAATGAGCTACATAATCAGAGACGTCAACGGGGGAGAGAGAGAGAGAGAGAGAGAGAGAGAGGGAGGGAGGGAGGGAGGGAGGGAGGGAGGGAGAGAGAGAGAGAGAGAGAGAGAGAGAGAGAGAGAGAGAGAGAGAGAGAGAGAGAGAGAGAGAGAGAGAGAGGGAGAGGGAGTTTCAAATGGATAGGAACCTTGTGAAATGAAGTACCTTTCAGGAAAATAAGTAAACTGCTTTTCCCCAGCATAAAAAAACAAACATATCAGCAGAGCGACCCACAACTCCCCCCCTCCCTAAAAAAAAAGCCAATAACCCCCCCCCCCAAAAAAAAAAAAAACACACACAAAAACAAACAACAAACCCCCAAATCCACAACTGAAGATTGTACTTTCAAAATATTTTATTGCACCAGTGCCAAACTGACAAGTCCAATGTGATATAAGTGAAGTTATACTTACTTTGACAGAAGTTACAGTCAATAGCATACTTGATCGAAGGACAACTTTTGAGAAAGCTGTTATAATATTCATTTTCTCTTATCAATAAAATTTGCTGGTCTACAAATGACCACGATTTTAAAAAATATTTAAAAAATAATAACTAAATAAATTAAAGAAAAAAAAATACAACTAATAATAACAATGAACAACAATGAAAATGATGATGACGACCTTTAACATCCAAGGTGGAAAAGGAGTTATAAACCTTGTTAATACTAGCTACAGCTGCAAACACTGGGACAGAATTCACTTTTAAAATATTTAAAAAAACAAAAAAGATGTGAATATGAAGGAAAGCAATAATTAACACAATTGTGAATTATTATCATTATCTGTGAAATGAATTTTCTCCAACCCATACTAAATTAATAATGTTCCGTCAAAGGAGCTGTGCACACTGACCATGCACTCAACTCACTAATCATTTTTGTTTTTCATGTTGAGAAAGCAGTCTCTCATTTAGAATTTAAAAAAAAACAATAACATAACATGGAAAGAGAACACTTATAGTATAGAGGCATAAAGATATATAATAAGGGACTCCGTGTTGTGAACTTGGAATACTCGTGTTTGCACTAAAGAGTTTTGTTAGCTGTGGGGTTCGGTTTTTTCAACATCTTGTACTGTCGCATCTCAAATTCATGTAATAAAAAATAAAAAAAACAACCCCAAAAAATCTTTACTGACAATGATCTTTAACAATCCACGAGAACTAGATCTACATCTCATGGCATGCATTCTGGTTAAATCTCACAAACCATCCACACTTTCAAGGGACGGAATCTAAGTATTCAGTCACCAGTTGTAGAAGACAGAAATAAACAAAACACTCAGTATTCTCCCTTACCCTAATTGGACTCGAGAAAGGTTAAAGTTAAAGAAGGGATAATACAAGAAGGCATTTCTAAAGCTTCCAGTGTTTAAACAGGAAAACTTGTCTTTCAAAGAAAAGAGTGAGGTATTGCCAATAAAGGCTAGAACTAACAAAAATACCCTCAGTCATGACAGGCGTTGAATTACAGTCGAAACTGCCCATAACAGTTACCCAAGATCACAGGGAAAAGTGACCACAAAAGACAAGTGGTTACCATGGACAGGGTCTGAGTTTTGATAAATGGAAATCTTAATTTTATTGTTCTATTTAATTCCATAAACATAGGTATCTATCGAGAGTTTCTTTGCACTGACTGACTTCAGACACTCAGTCTAAGAATGGCATATGGGTAGGCACAAAATTTCTGTAGCAAATGACTGCTATGAGCAGTTTTTAAGGTGACCTGACGAGTAAATGACTTACAGTGGTTGCATTGAACAGGGACTGCCATGGACAGGTAGAAAATATAGGAAAAATACAAGGGTGTCAAGGTACAGTGACCATTAGTAAATGTGACCGCTACGGAGAGGTGAAAATTAAGGCAGGTCTTAATATTCACAACACATACACCCGAATAACGTGTTTTAGAAGAGATACATCATCCCTGCTCCTTGGTGGTGCGGTATGGGTACAACAACCTTACTGGTACAGAAAAATTACTCAGGGGGCAGGACCTCTTATCAGACATCTATTCTGATATATGGCAAAAAGCTGCAAAACCTCTACAAATAACCCAGTCTTAAGAATGCCCTTTCAGCATCTAGAGCCAGGCTTGTCCTCCCGTAATACATACCAGCTGCTCTAACAAAGACACAACTCATTTGTGATCATTCGCTCTAAGGGAAAAGAACACAGCCAGCATACACAGCTTACTTTCAGGATAAATCTTGAATCATTTTCTACTGACTATCACAATACAGTAGTCTGCTTAAAACAAACACGATTTATCCGAAAACGGCAGATGAACTGAAAGAGAATGGAATCCCTGATTTTTTTCCTCGCTATAAGAGCAATCTCTCAAAACCGAAAACACTGTTGTTAATAAACCAAATGAAATCCAATAGTTCTACAGATTTCAGTTTGTGCCACTGTAGTAGCAAGGAGCACAGGAAATATCACAACTTCAAGACAGCAAGCTAAGACACACTATGCGGGGAGTGCCAAATTTCAAATATAATATCAAAATCCCCAAATTTTGATTTATAAAAAACAAGCATGGAAAGCAAAGGTATTCCAATCTATTCTTCTAAACCAATCTCAGGAGGAGATGAAAAACATTTTTGTACTTCTCCACTATCTGTAGTCGAAGCAAAATAAGGACATACATTGATGACTCGCCCAACAATAAACAGCACAATATGCAAATCTCATTTTAAATTACTATCACAAAAAAACCATTATAATTCCAAGGCTGAATAAAGAGCTGGGGAACTTGTCTTTCAAGCAGAAGAACAGAGGCCAACAGTCCTTTCTCAACAGACCACAGACAGCCCCTAAAAGTATTACTTACAAGATCGCCTCATCGCACGCCTCTAGGAGCAGAATGAAAAGGAGCAACAGAGGCTCAATTATTATTAAGTGTCAAACCTCAAGTCTGACTAGAAGACGAGCACATTAAAAAAAACCGACCTTCAAATTTTCCTGAGATAAAGTAAAACAGCAGACAGAAGAAGCAGAGGAGCAGTAAAGAAGGGGAAACAACTTGTGCTGCTTTCCATATATAGTTGGCATAAAAATTTTTAAAAAGAATTAAAATCAGCTGCACTTCCTTTCACACCAATATTTCATAATGACTGATAGGAACCTCTTTCTGCTATTCACTTCAGAACTTCACTGACATTACAGCCCATTCTGTGGAATATTCTTCACCGGAATTGTCACCAGCAAGAAGCGGAATTATTGATATTATGGTAAATTATGCAAAGGTGAGTAAGTTTACATCAGTGCCTGCCAACCTGAGCAGTATCATCCACTGATGAGTGATTTGGTAATGTAGGTGGGCAGAGGAGATCTCCCTGGTAGTGATGGGTGTTATTTCATGGCCTGCTTGCAAATATACTATAGGTGGTGGTATGAAAATTGCAGCCCCTGAAAAGTGACAAAAAAGGGAACTGGCTACAAAAAGGTTGACAAACACTGATCTACACACGAGAAGACACTTTCACAAGTTAATCCTGTATGGTGAACACATCTAGCCAAAATAAGAGACACACGCAGTTTTGATTCCAATAATGACTAGGTTCACCACATAGTGATTGGCAGAACAATAGCTACAATTCATCGGGCACAGCTTATGAAAACAGTAACAATAAAAAGGGGTAGGAAAAATAGACCATGCTAAATTACTCACAAACAATCAATTTTACCGCATGCAATCAAGTTTCCCATTAGAGATACAATACTGGAGTTTCCAAGAAAAGCAAATCCAGCAGAAATCTATGTAAAAAACAAAAATCAAAATTATAGCAAAGCAAAAGTCATACTCAGTTTTACAGTAGGCCTACCTAACTAGTGGAAAACCATGAGGGTTCTAAAATATTTCGCAAATGTTTACACTACTTCTTTAAAAAAATTCCCAAACAGCTGATGTTTACAGGAACTGAATGTTCAAGTAAAGTTTGTTCTGTTTTGTTTAGTGACAACAGAGATCACTAAGCAAAACAAAAAAGTGCCCGCCAACCATCCTTAGGCATTCCGCCAACCATCCTTACGCATTTGAAAAATGGTAAAGAAAAGATTGAAAGGAAAATACTATATTAAAATGTTTCCTGCAGCTTTTAGTATCGCAAAACTCAACATATGCAACTGTCTCTTTACATAAATCACCTGGCAGATTTCGATCGCAGAACACCTGAATTTCCTTTGGATACAAAACTTTCAGCTAGTCAATCAGTATTCAGAAGTTGAGACTAAAATGAAATCCTGTTGATGAATGACCAGTTCAGCTAGATCTGAGAGACACACAGAAGGCTAGTTTTAGTAAGAGTTTTACGGCACTTGCAACACAATAAGGCCATATAAGTTCGAAGATTAGAGGTGTTACAAAAGAGTAACAAACACAAAAAAGAAGGAGGGGAGATAGAAACGATAGATTTTTTATAGGAAAGAAGGGGAGATAGAAACGATAGATTTTTTATAGGAAAGAAGGAGCAAACCACACCAGAGCACCTGCTAACCACCCACAGAGAAGGCTAATGTGCACTGAGCTTGCCACACAGCAGACAAAAAAAAAGAATGATCAAGTTTAATAAATAGCACAATTACTAGAATTAGCCAGAAAGGCAAAAAACAAGATAATTTTTTAAATGACATAAAACATAGAGCTATGACTGAAACAATTGAGAATTCTTCCCTGCATGAAAATCTCGCAAACACATACACACATACAGAAAAAAGCAGAAACTGCATCACGTGCCGGTTCAAATGAGTGGGGATACCGGTAATGAAGGAACAAAAGCAGACTCATCATAAGTGGTTAGCTTTATCACAGCGGTAAATCTGGAAGTAATTCGAGACAGTAGACAAACATGGAGGGGAATGACACATTCTCGGACCACCTCGAAAAATAAACTCCTACTTATTTCAAAGTAGGAGTTAGTGTGCAGAAAATTACGGGGAGGGCATAAGAAATTTCAACAAAGAATACGGTACATGCAATATACTTTGTGAACTGGACTGCAGAATCCCCCGCCCTGCCCTGTCACTCCCCTCCTGTCCTGAATGGAAAGACCGAAGTTATTTCTTGTGCAGTACCTGAGAAAAGTACCCAATCTGGCAAGAGCGTCAACCACAACCAGGATAGTCTAGTTCTGTGTTTGCCAACCCGTGCAGTATCATCCATTAGCAGGTGATTTGGTCACTTTGGTGGGTGGTGGAGATTCTCTGGATTGTCAAGGGTTTTGTAAAATGCCTGATTTGGAAAGACATGTAGGTGGGAGGTAGGAAAACTTTTTGCCTCTTAAAGTTGGCAAAAGTTGGCGCAGGCTTTAAAAAGGTTGACAAACACTGGTCTAGTAGTTTGAGCTTACTTGACCTACTTACTGACAAACAGCAAAGAGAAGAAGTACAACAATAAGCAGAACCGGCCCTGTGGTATTGTGTGAAGTTTAAAAAAAAAATTGTTTCAAAATCAACGTTAGAAAGGACATTCGACAAAACACTTAGAACTGATCTAGTGCAAACGTCAACAATTTTTTAATTATTATATGAATGGAAGTTTCATAAAAATGATATCAAATGACAAGTGTGAAAAATGTACAACTTCCATCATTCGGGTGGCAGGCTTCCACCATGCTTGTCAGAGTCAACCCAGGCTAAGAAGGATGCAAAGTACCATCAGGAAGACCGAGATATTCGATTAAAATGTTCCCTATACAGGAATCGAATTCAGATCTTGCACGTGCGACGGTGAGACATCTTTCCACTACACCACAGACTCTGACACTATGAGTGTACACAGCATTTCACTATAACCTAGATTTCAGCAGAATATGAAGACTGAGTCACAAAACGGGCCACATATGCAAACAACATGTTTGATCACTACCTGAACGGACATATTTGGAGCAGTACAAACAAGAATAAATGGAGCTATGCTTTTTTCAAGGAAGCATTTATTTATAAATACTGTAAGTTCTAATTCCTATAAATTCTCTATACAATCAGAAAAAAGTACGATTCCTTTCGTTACTCTACTGAGTAGCAGCACTAGAGGCAGCAAAATGTCTTCCTCATACCAGAACTCTAGCACCCGAGGAAAGTTAGTTCTTGTAAGAGTTTTATGGCACTTGCACCACAATAAGGTCATATAAATGCTGAGGTGTTATGAGAGAATGACAAACACAAAAAAGGAGGAGAGATCAGGACATTAAAAGTTTGAAAGGAAAGAAGGAACAAACCACACCAGAGCACCCACCAACCACCCGCCACCTGAAGAAAGCTATTAACCCGACAGATACATTCGAATATACCACAACATAGTCATCACTCCAATCTATGTAACCATAACCAAAAATAAGAAAGAAAGGCAATCATATTTACAAGCTCTAACCTCCAGTCCAGAATACAATAAAACACAGATTGCTCGTTCGACTATACTGCGAACATAACAGCATTTGTCAGAAGAATCTCTGATTGATTCTAAAAGTTTTCTGGCCCATCCACACAAAAAATATCACTTAGAAGACAGACTGTTCAAACTCATTATTCAGATTCAGAGTCAACCTGTGTTGGGTAGACTTCAGTATTCCAGCAGATAGACCAAAATACATGATAAAATTATTTTTCCAGATTGGGAATCAAACTCATACCTCAGTATATAATAGTGAAGAGACTAACCATTACATCACAGATGCCATTCAGTCCTACCTCTTTTCTTTCCCTATAAAAAGGCCATTGTTTAGTCCTGGAGCTTTTTTCTACTCAAAACTGAACTGAATTATGGGCATGGTGAAAATATTCAGGATAAACATTTTATTTTACGAATGTGGCCAAAGATGAAAAGCTACACCCAGTAAAGAAGAGAAAGCTTATTCATGTGAGAACTTTCTCTTGGTGATCACTTCAAACTTCAAGAAAAAATTATTTTGTCAGTCATATTCACAGGCATCGGAAGAAGGCATTGAGAGGAATTTTCATAAAAGGCAAGATCCAAAGGAGATTTCATTTCGATAAACATGATTCTAACAAAACCACTTTCAGATTAAAATGGTATAGTACTACTTCACCAAACTTAACATACTTTCTGGAAACATGACAGAGCCACACATCTTAAATGCTCTTGCATGCTCTGTTTCACAACGGTATTTTAGGACGAATCTTCTTGAAAAGCTGCCCTCAGTGTTGGGCTGTCACTTTTCAGCTTCTGCTTGACTTGCTTGAGAAATTTGTTGTGGAGACGGCTGAACTCCATGATGTCTTTGGGCTTCTCCGACAACCAGAACTGTGTGAAATCATGGAGTAAGTAACCTAAAAGAGGAAACAAAATACAGTAGAAATTGGTCAAGATGGCCACCCATTATCTAGGGGAAAAGAGACTGTCTTGCACAGGCGGATGTTTTGGGACAGTGTCATTGTAATATGGAAAAAGAAACATACGGAGGAAGCGGGGGTGGGGTGGGGGGGGGGAGAGAGTGGGAAGTGGTCGTACTGGTGGCTATCTTGGACAGGTGGTCATTCGAGCATGTTTGACAATAGTAAATTTTTTTATCAAGGAGAGTCAGATCTTGTCTTCACCAGTGGTCATTAACAAGAAAAAAGTTGCCTGAATCAAGAAAAGAGAAGAAGATTGTCACAATAATGGCCATTTACTGCAGGGAACGAGCAAGATACTCTCATAGAAAAGACAGAGAGAAGGCAAAGAAGCAGAGTGGCCACAGAGAGCAGGATGGCAAATTTTTAAAAACCCAATCAGGGACACCCAACATTATAATGACATCCAATTCAGTAAACAACAGACAACATTAGACAAAGACGGACAGGTTCCGTGTGGTGTATGTGATAAGGTTACGATCACAGTGGAATTGAACAGTCTCTGGAAATTTAGGACAGTTGGCAACCGTGCATGGAGTGACATAACAGTCAGATAGATCATATGAATTTGGCCATGACTGAATGCCTAAGAAGGCTTGGCTGCTCTTTAAACTTCAAACTGTCTGGGAATCTTTGAAGTGCACAATATGCATACAAGACTTTCAAATTTTGTAATTATTTGAGAAGTTCTGATACTCTGCCATGCAAATTTAAAAGCAAAAGTAAAATAATGTGATTCAGTCAAAAAATGGCAACACACATATGTGATTTACTTACAGTAAACATGGTGAAAGTCTGTCAAATCAGGTTCTGCTTTCTCACTGCTGTAAAAATGAGGTCGTAACTTTCGTTTTCTCAATAGTTCAAAGCCCATGCCAGTGATATTTATTGCCACAATGGCAAATGAAAACCTGATGGAAAAAGTCAAAAGGTTGGGGTAAAAAAATGTTATAGTCAAGATATTATCAATGCATAAATACACTACACCTTTTCCCAATCAAAATAAAGAAAACAGTTCAAATGCAACAAAGAAACTTCCAAATCATATCAAATTTTCAAAATCAATTCAACATATTATATAAAGTTCAAATTCAACAATTAAGTAAACGTAAGCAAGCGCCAGCAAAAATATAAGCAAACAAAAGTTTAAAAATGTAAACATTAGGAAAATTAGATTCCACATTGACAGTTCTATTTTATCATTAAAAAGTTCAAATTCAACAGTGCGAACAAACAAATAACCAAGTGCAGGCATACGGGGACTAGTTTGTCATTTAGCAATGGATGTTGTTTACATCTTTTCGAGGTTACCCCTAATTTATCTCCCTTTGAAATATCCGTTGCCCGCTCCATCAAGCCATTCATCAACTGACAGATCGACTACAGCTTATCTAATAATTGCTATCTTCTAATCTATCAAACTTAATACTTACTGTTGCTCTTTAAAAAAAGCTGTACAGAAAGGTAGGGTTAAAGAAAAATAAATTTTGAATAAATTCAAAGAGGTGAGGCTTATTTAAAACTGGGAGGAGGGGGGGGGAGGGAGAAGTCGGAAGTTATCGTTCGTACAAGTAATTGTGTTAGAAAGTTGGTCGTTACAGCAGGTTCGACTGTATTCGTACTAAGTAAAACAGGTCCTCACACAGACCATTGTAACTTCCCTTTCCACACTCACACTCTGGTAGTCCTTAGGTTTTTGTACATTTCTTTTCGAGTAAACAAAGGAGCTGAGTCAAAGCGATGAAGTATGACAGCAGTACAAAAACACAGTCGAAACTGCATAAGACAGCCACCCATTGTCAAGAAAAGAAGCCGTCTTAGAATGGAGGCCGTCTTATGGTGTCATTATAATGTAGAAAAAATACACAAGAGAGGAAATGCGAAGTGGCCATTTTCGTAGGTGATTGTCATATACAGGTGGCCATTAGAATTAGAATAGGTTCAACTGTATACACAAAAACCGTGTCATGTTCAGACGGAGCTTAAAAAAAAAATATTTACAGTGAGCACAAATCTAAACAAAACAACAGGGCAGATTAATCACAAATATAGAGGCATATAAAAGATTACCCATATTGAGGATGATGTGACTGTGAAAAGACTCGAACTGCTGACTCAGGGTAATTGACGGCAAAAAACCTGGGGGGAAAGAACAGTAAAAAGTGTCAATATTCTATGAGGGGTCAGTGGTAAGGAGAGAAACAATTTTTTTTTTCCAATCAGAAATGTAGGCCTTTCCCATTCTAATAAAGAGGAAAACATGAATTTGTTTCTTGTATGTAATCAAATACACAACAAATACAGACCACTCCATTTGGTGTTAAATCCACTTGAGCTGATTTTCAGTTAAGTCGATCTTTTTTCTCAGATCCCAGTACATCTCCTTCTTTACATTTGTTAAAATCAAACGTTTATGCTGGGTTCAACACAAACGTAAATACGCTTGAGTTGAAGAGTGGCGTCGGTGGCCTAGTGGTTAGGCTCTCGGACTCGCAACCGTAAGGTCGTGGGTTCGAATCCTGTCAGGGACCCGACGTTGTGTCCTTGGGAAAGGCACTTTACACGAATTTTCCTCACTTCACCCAGGTGGGAATGGGTATCCGGCTATAGACAGTGAAAGATCTTGTCAGTTTGTTAGTGTTTGAGCGCTTAATCAGCTGCTTGCACTGTATGCTTCCCGGGAAGCTGAGAATGTTTCTGAGTGTTCTATGGTCTGCTGGGGTAATAATATAGTGTAAAGCGCATAGAGCCTGCTGTTGAGCGGGGAAATGCCCTATACAAATGCTATTTATTATTATTATTATTAAGAGCTTTCTTACCCCCAGCTACAACTACAAGTATGCAATGGCTGAAGTAATTTTTGTGCGTGTGTATGGGCAAATTGTTCATTTTACAGCAGTTTTTACATGAGTGATACATAACATAAAAATACAATCATGTAGAGCCAATCAAGGCCTAATAGGCCTGCATAGTACACGTACTATGTAACTCAATGAAAGGGTGATGAATTTGCGAGCAGCAGGTGTGTGTGACGACATGATGCAACGAAAAACCACGTCAGTTGTTGTTTCCTGACCCCTCAAGGCCGAAGGGCAGAGCATGTCACATGACAATGGGTGATACAATAAAACCCCGGTATAACGTTCTCAGCTGAAAACGTCCTCTCAGCTGTAACACGCACTTTCTGAATTCCTGTTTCAGCTGGTATTTTTACTCTTTAAAGGCTATGTCTCATACATCCCTTTGTAAATCGTACTTTCAGTGATAACCTTCACTTTTCAAGGGATTTTAATGATTTAAAGTGTGTTTAAAACATGCATTGTGCAATGTACGAATAAAGAAAATGGCAAAATGCCATAGTTTTACCATTATTTGGAAAAACAACGTGGTCTGAACATGTCATGTTAGTTGGCGTATTGTTAATTTCGTAATCAGTAGATGCTAGCATCTCTCTCTCTCTCACACACACACATGCAAGGGCATGCAGTGATTGATATTGCTCCTGCACCACCATTTTTACTACTACTGCAGTTCTAACATTAAAATAGGAGGAATGGCAAAGATTTTGTTCTGTCCCTTGATTTTGTGGTCTCGACAGTTAAGTCGAACTTTAGATGAGTAGATCTTGTTTCACTCCCCTGGTGACATATCAACTCATCCGTAGTCAACTGCAGTATGCACACATAATTGGAGGTCACTTTTAAGCACAGGGGGCTATCCCGAAAAATGCTGTTTTGAGAAAATCGAAGGTTAAGTTTTTGCCCCTTGTTCAGTTTCTTTAAAAGACAAGGAGTTCTTTTCTATAACCAAACAAATATACACACCAATGAAACCAAACTTCTCCTATAAGGAAGGGCAATGCCCATTTTTCATGTAGGTCAAGATTTCTGGAAACCCCCGAAATCTGGGTTAGCCCGCTTGTCCTTAAAAGCGAAGAATTAATATATGCTATATCTGTGGCAGAAAGACTCTACGAGCATATCCATGACCCACCTGTTGCATGAACCTAAACAATATTTTCACAATCCACATAAATATTTTTACACAACAGGTCACTGGTAAGAATAATGTACCCATCTTCCATATAATATATACACACATATCAGGTGTTACACATTGCCAAAAGCCATTCTGCTTACAATTTTTTTTCCCATCAAACTATTGTTATCTAATGTTCTGCTTACAATTTTTGTTTTAGCTTTTTTCTTTAATTATAAAAGTTTAAAGACAGTTTCGAAGTGTAATAATTAGGAAAAAAAAAGAAAACAAACTCATATAAAGCTAACCATGACATTGTCTACAGCAGAAAAAAAATGGAAAGACATTTTGAGAAAAATATATTATGACCCTTTTAGAAAGACAAGTAAAAAGTATTTCAAATACTGTAGTAATGATGTTAATAGTAGCAGAGGCTACACAAGCAATGTTTAATTATTTCATTTCAAACACTTACGTCAGCTGTTGTAGTCCCAGCATGCCCATCCCACGGAAGTCTGTCTTTGGGTCATGACCTTGAAAACCCAACTCCTGCCAGTGTGGTCCAACACGTTGAGGCAATGGCACATCACTTTTGTATAGGCTCCACAGCTGTAACAAAACCAAGGAACTCTATTATATTCCTTAAGAAATAGTAGGCCTACCATGACTCTGCCTGTCCCTATTTAAACTTTAAAATCAGATAGGGTGGAGAAACTGGTAAAATTGAAGTACAGCCCCAATTTTATGCTACTTGACCTAATGAAATGTGCCACATCCGTGGTCACCAGGTATGTCATGGAGAGGCAAGCAGTCATGTCTTTCAGGAACAAGAATTGCTCGTTGTGATGCCCTACGGTATGTGTGGGAGCTATACATACTTTACTTTTGTCCAAAACTTTTGGGCGAGCACCACTAGGTGCAAGAATGTGAGAATATTCGTATAGGAAAGTGTAACAACTTTTTTATGTTCAATGTTTTAAGCTCAAACCATGCACTTCAGCATCTCTCTCTCTCGCCTTTTTTAACTCCCAGTGGAGCACAGGCCATCAACAGCATTACTCCAGCGAAGCCTGTCCTGAGCATCCTTTTCTATCTGTTTCCATGATGTCCCACCTTTTTCAATTTCCGCTTGTAGCGCTCGCCTCCATGTAATCTTTGGTCTTCCCTTTTTACGTTTTCCTTGTGGGTTCCACGTTAAAGCCTGCCTGATGATGTTTGTCGGGGGTCTCCTCAGGGTGTGTCCAATCCATTTCCATTTTTTCACCTGTATGTTTTCCTCTACAGGCCTTTGGCTTGTTCTTTCCCACAGTTGAGTATTAGTGACTCGATCGTACAGCTTGATCCCCACTATCCTTCGTAGGCATCCATTTACGAAGCTCTGCAGTTTCCTTGCTGCTGATGCAGAGAGCCTCCATGTCTCTGAACCATACAGTAGAACAGTCTTCACGTTTGTTTTAAAGATCCTCAGCTTGGTGTTCAATCCCAGTTCCTTAGACATCCATATATTCCTGAGAATGATGAATGCTGCTCTTGCCTTTTGGATTCTGACCTTGATGTCTTCGTCTATTCCCCCTCCCTTGTTGATGACACTTCCCAGGTAGGTGAAGGATTCAACATCCGCTAATGGTGCCCCTTGCAGTGTGATAGGAACGTCAGCTGCATTCATTCGTTGAGCTTTCGTTTTATCCGTGTGAATATGGAGTCCAACACTACGGGAGAATATCCTGAGGCGATCTGTTTTCTGTTGCATCTGGGCTCGACTGTGAGAAAGAAGTGCCAAGTCGTCGGCAAAGTTCTAGTCTTCCAACTGACTGGAAAAGGTCCACTGTATGCCACCGCGTCGTCCCGGTGTTGTCTGTCTCATTATCCAATCCACTACTTCAGCATCTACTTAGCACATACTCAATGAAGTTGTAAGACCTTATCTATACGTCTTTCCAAGACAAAATATGTGACTAAAGGCATACTTAAGTTCATGATGCAAATACCAAACACACCTCAGTAAGCTGCTTCTCATGTGCTTTATTTTCTGCGTCATATTTGGTGGTACGTAGAGCCTCGGCCTCCTTCAAAATTTTATTGTATGCTCGGATGCGAAGTAGGCTGTCTTTTAGAGTTGGTTCAAATCTGACAAGATGTAAGAAAAAATCAGGTTAAGAGTAAAAACAAAATACAGCCGGGCACATATAAAATGAACATGGAAAACTAAAAACCCAGATAGCTCGTAAAATTTGCGATTCCTCAACTAATAACTTTTAAATTCTTCACTTTATTGGTTTACCTGAATTATGGAATTATATATGTGCTGAAAATATTTGTCAATCTCTGAAGTGTTAGATTTATCCATGCTGGACTGTACCTCCCACCCCCAAACCTAGACACACATTTTCAATGTGTCCTTGCTGGTTATCTCTCTGTTCTCTTGAGCCCTGATCTTCCCTAATGGAAGAAATGAAGAGATGCAGACAACATATCATACATTTATATAAAATCAAACTACTGTCTTCGGTTTAGTTCAATATAATAATATGCTCCACAAGCATAAGGCAAACATTATCCAAAATATTTCCCCCCTACCCTTTTCAACATAAATAATAACACATTAGCTCTACATTTGTGAAAAATAAGCATAATTATAAAATAATCATTTGTACATCAGTTTGATATCCGTTATATTGATGGCTAAACATTGAACCAAATCTAAATTAAACAACCCATTATCAGGAATCTTACACCTTTCCATCACTGATAATGAAAGTATGTGAGTAGACCGCCCCTTCTTTTTAAAATTGAAAAACAAGTGTTGATTTAAAATACCATAAACTCATACAATTTCACTCTACCATAACACAAAGTGCTATTAGTGTTTGTAGTTCAGTAAATAGAAGTGTGTTGGCACAATAATGGACAGAGACAGAAAAGACAAGTAAAGAAGAAACAGGAAAGTAGAAGGACCTAAGAAGCACCCTCCAACCATTCATCAGTATAACAGCACCAGGGAGTATGACATCAAATTCAGGAGAGTATACAGTAATTGATAACTGCTTAGAAAACAGAAGAACAATAAACGCTGATGGGACTAGACCTTCACAGAGATATTCTGAGAAACATACTGAGTGTGTACTTCGGGTACAACATCTTTCAACTTCATCAGATTTGACACAGACTCTGATATGTCATAGTCGCTGTCAGTCGCACATCTCCGTACATCAACACTGCTTGAGTAGTTCAGGGATGATTCTTCAAGAAAAGAAAATATCAAGTGAACAGTATTAGCCATTACTTTTAAGAACACGTATAATAAGTTAAAACAAAAACATTGTTATATCACAATAAAGAATGAATAGCAAATAATAATAATAATAATAATAATAATAATAATAATAATAGATAGCATTTGTATAGCCCAAATCCCCGCTCAACAGCAAGCTCTATGCACTTCACAATCTGTACTATTACCCCAGCAGACCTGAGAGCATTCTGAAACAAACTCAACTTCCTGGGAAGCATACAGTGCAAGCGTCCATTTATAAGCACTAAAACACTAACATACTGACAAGATCTTTCCCTGTCTATGGCTGGGTACCCATTCCCACGACCCCGCAATGATAGAGGACTTAAGTGTGCATTACACATGTCACAGCATATAAATTATGATGAATTAAGAAGCTAAATGCAACAATGTAGAATACAATATATTATACAACCCATTTCTGAGACCAAAAAAATGCTGCTTTTTTTTCTAAATGTGTTACAGTACAGTCGGTCTCCAAAATAATGTGTTTCAAAAAGAGGATCATTAAAAGAATAAATTTTATATAAAAACATCTGAATATCAGCACAATGGCAGTGCTACTGACTGAAGTTGTCTTTATGCCATTCCCAAAAAGGGGGGGGGGGGATATCAATGTGTTCTTATGCACACTAGAATTATAAACTGGCTGATTTACCAATGTCATGCTCATACAGTGCAGAAACAACACAGAGGGAGCAGCAGCTTTTTCTTTCCTCATCCTTACTATTGCCATTTTTCCTCTACTTCTTTTGTATGTTTGTAACTCTCATGTGAACTGATATTTCCGGGGTGCGTTGATAGTCAAAGCAGACTTTGTGCTGTTGAGGCTAGAGAGGTGTGCAGAGTAAGCTTTGGACATCTCTGTTGACATCCACCTCTTGGCGCTCATATTATTATGACCTTATGCAGTTGCGAGCGACATAAAACCATACTAAAACAAAAGAACATCAGCAAGAAAAGCATGCACTAATAGCAGTCAAACGATGATTCTACACCTAATAAAAGCGTACCCAAAGCTTTTTTTCTTTACCATGATCTTTATGCCGCTACCTAAAAGAAAAACTGTTAAATGTGAGCAGAGACCAATGGAAGAGTAAGGGGCTAAAAATGAAGGACTTACAAAAAAAAAAATAATAAAAAAAATAAAAATATTGAAATTAATATGAGAGGCAGCTTGGTCAAATCAGGTGCTCATCAAAATAATGAAATTGAAGAAAATGACATTTTTCCAGCCAACTGGGCAACTTTTATTGAACTTTTGCCTTTTGGCTCAACATAGTTCATGTCCATTTAAAAACACATTTTCGTGAGGATTTTATGGAAAAAACGTTGATCAAAGATACAAAAATATAAATTTGCAGTTTCCAAGGTCTCTCAATCTTTGGAAACCATTTTCTTGCTTATAATTTTATCTCTGCTACAAGGCGAATCCAACTTCCTTTATACGTTAATAACTCGACGCGCGCTCATATGACCTTAGCAGTTGCGGGCGCCGTGAAACCCTATACTACATACAAATAACTCGACTTGTATTCAAGATAAGAAAGAGAGGTAATTCTTTTACTAAAGGCAAGGCAAATCAAAAGGCTAAGATTATACCAATAACTCCATATGCCCAAAAATGGATGAGTGCCGGATTCCACTGCAACACACAAAAAGGGGTAAAATATATTAATATTAATACAGAATAGAAAGCAAAATAGATGAAAATGATATAACCTACCAATGCGCTTGGTTCGTGATACTCTGTCTGACTCTTCATAGGTGATTCTCAAAAGTTCACATTTTCCAGTAACGTGCCTCAAAAGCCACTTCAACATTGGTCTGAGTAGCACAAAGTATAATTTGGTCCACCATTCATGAAGCCAGTCTGTAAGCACTGAAAAATTAAAGATTGATATACAGTTGGTAATAAACTGGAAGAGAAAACAAAATTGAAAGAAAATCATCATACAAAATTTACTTTAAATAAAATAAAATGCTACACTCTGGCTGTGATTTTATTAGGGCAGTGCACTTAGAAAATAAAAGCTCTTCGTCTTTTCTAAACAAATTTTTTCAAATAATGTTATATTTTTACCTTTTTTTCATCAACATGGAAAAAGACATTAAAAGTAAGTTTGCTTTGAGGATGGTGCTTTTGTACATATGCGGTCAGATATAGAAAGGCTATGTCAAAAGCAGGACACTATGCTCAGTGGTATAAGAAAAAGAGAAAGCAAACACCCCCCCCAAAAAAAACAAAAAACAACAACAACAACAAACAAACAAACTCAGTCAATTTATATTATAAAGAGTAAATAGTATAGCTGTAAGAAAACAAGACAGATCCCAGTCAGAGATAAGGTAGGAAGAAGGTGGTGGCGATGGATTGGACATACTCTAAGGAAGTCAGGCAGCAGCATAACAAAGAAAGTGTTGGATTGGAATCCACAGGGTAAGAGATCAAGGGGAAGACCGCAAGGAACCTGGAGATTATTGGAAAAGAATCACAGAAATTGATGTACAGAAAAGAGGGAAGATGTAGAATAACATCATGAGGCTAGCCCAGAATAGACAAAGATTGAAAGTGTTTGTCCATGGCCTATACCCTGGTGCAGGGTGAGAAAGGCAATGATGATGAAATAGCTGTAAAATATGTGACACAACTTATAAAGAGAGGAGATATTACATTTGCTCTGTTTCACATGTTTAAGAATCTATGCCTAACTAAGGTGCAGTAGTAAGTTGATTGCAGAACATTAAAATGGTTTCCTGTTACAAAAGGTATAAAAGATAAGGATGCATACTATCAACATCTCTTGAGCAAAAAGAGTGAATAGCGCACAAAATACAACATCGCTCGAGAAAGGATGAATATGACATGTCAATTCTACAAGGAATATATTTAAATTTAAGAGTCTTACATAAATGATACTGCACTCCTTGCCACAACACCAACAGGACTTGATTATTTAATAAAATCTTGTCAAAAAACACAGTGACCAAAAAGGATTACACAATATAGGCTTATGTAAAGAGGGCCAAAATCATGGACAAAGACAAAAATGCAAAGAAAATGATATCATGGAGCCAGGGTTGAGGCTAATGGGAAAGCAGCCCCAGATATGAAACGGAGAATTGCAATTGCATCATTAAAATTAAAAGAGACGTATCATATTCCTCACTGCAATACAGAGGACACTTGGTTTCAACTAACTCGGATTCAACAAAAACTCAAATTCAACTAATTGAGTCGGAGTTTTTTTAATTCATAAAAATCACTACGATATAACTCGGATTCAACGAACACATAAAAGAGCAAGCTCAGATTCAAAGAAGCCGCCAGCAGTGTAAACTGCCTCTTGCAACCATTCAGCAGCCTACTTCCATACCAAATACATGCGCAATTAACACTCATACATGTCATAGCGTATGTCGGGTTGGATGGGCAGCCGGAACATGAGTGACTGTGTGTATGTGTGTCTGAGGGATTGGGGGGGAGGGAGCACTAGCAGTCTGGGAGTGGAAGTTCAGTTGAGATATGTCACAAACGTTTTTTCTTTTCCTGGCTACTGATCAGTTTTACAATGATAAGCTCGTCTTGACATATATCTACGTAATGAATTGTTCGCTGGACAGGGTAATCAAGTGTTGCTGTATGCCAGGCTCTACACAGCAACAAAACTTGTTCAGCAAGCAATACGTTATATATGATAGATGACACAGGTGTGCATTTGAACAAATCGGCCCTTTTGTACAGTGTGCTTTGTAGAGTTCAATGTATTTTTCTGGAATTTTCCAGCATTTCTTCTGTATTAAAGAAATAAAAAAATGCCTCTCATTTGAAACCAAACAACTTTTAATTGAGAAAATCGAACACATTATTAATACTTGCTCGGCGCCAATAATTATCCATACTAAAACCTTATATTTGCTATAACGCACACTCGGATTCAACGAAATTGAAGGCCAGGCCCGACGACTTCATTGAATCCAAGTTCCACAAAAATTATGGATGTGAAGCATGAATCATCAGTGAACAAGATTTTTTAAAAATATTACAGCTTTCGGAATGAAACGTTATCAAAGTACTCAGAGAATATCCTGGACATACAAAATTCAGGTTGAAAAAATTCAAAATGAGAAAAATACTGGCAGAAACATCAATACCCCTCCAGAATGTGATGAAATCGAACTACTTCGGATAAACACATGAATCACTCGAGAAACATATTCTGGAAGCAAAGGTTGAAGACAAGAGATCAGGAAAGGGAAGACCTAACGGTAGATAGGAACAGGACATAGAAACCTGGCTTGGAACCAAAACAACACAGGCAGGCTGAATGAAGAAACTGTTTTATATGCATAAAAAGGTCAGAAAAGATACGTCCAACTACTGGTAAACCAAAGAAGAAGAAGAAATCTCATCCACTGTCACAACTCATTGACAGTTCCCTTACTTAAAGCTTTGGTCATCATCTGGTGTATAATCTATTTGTGTATCGAGGGGAAATCAAGCGATCGACCAGACTCTATTTAATGAAATCGAATTAAAAATTAAACTTTTCTGCCCAATGGGCAATTTTTATCCAATTTTTAAAAAAGTTAAACCCCTTTTAGACCATTTTAAAGCACATTTTTGTGTATGTTACAGAAAGACGTTAATCAAAGGCACTAAAAGGATAAGGCGGTTTCCAATGACGCCTTTCTTTGCTTTGAATTTTTTTTCAGGAAAAGCAAGATAAATGAACAAGCTTGTAGATAATACTAATAACTCCATATGCTAAAACTTTGATGATGTGCCTGATTCCACAGTTTCGTGCCAATATAATTTACCACTAATGGGTACCATATAAAATTGTTAATATTCTGATCTGCTATCAAATCTAATAAAGATTGAGAAGTATTAGATCAGTCGTATTTCTAAAAAACCCACAAAAAACATATGCCTACTAGAACCTAGGGGATTTGGGGGGGGGGGGGGGAGGGATGGAATCCTACATGACATCACTTGATGTGGCTTTAACTCACACTACAGACTCTACTTCCAGCAGATTCTACTACCACCCCCCATCCAGTCAGTCTAGCCGTACTTATCTTAGGGCCTATAAACATCAGAAAACAAGTCTCATTAGTAATTATTCAGGGTTAAAATACATGCACTGTCAGTAAGGCACCTGGTTTCGTCTCAAATACAAATACTTTAGATACTGCAACCTAAAAATGTATTTACAATTCAGTAGGCCTAATTTTTTTTGTCAGACTAGCCATCATATAAGTACGGCTAACCCAACTGTCTAGCCGTACTTAAGTATGGCTAGCCAAGCAGTCTAGCCGTACTTAAGAGCCGTCATTAAGTACTGCTAACCTCTTCCATTAGAAATCTATATTAAAGACGAAATCTTGCAAATCCAGCCCTATGTCAAGAATGCCAAAATCATTTTTGCAGTTAGGGCATCTTTGATGAAGAGCATTTTTTGTTAACTCTAAGCAAAGGCCAAGGTAGCCTGCTCTAGTATTAAAATATTTAATAATAGGCCTACTATGTAGCCTACATGAGAAGTTTAATTGGACTTGGACAGACTCCGAAAAGTGAAATTAAGCAGGGGTTACAATAGAGTTCCGCAAAAAACAAAGCTAAATCTAGACTATATTTTATTAGGCCCCTATGTTCAATTTACATTAATTATTAAATTTATAAGGCAACCTGCTGGCACTATTTCTGAGTACTGTACTGTACTGTAGTGAAAACAGTATCAGTAAGAGAAAAACTGACCAACGCCAAATTACAGCTCAACAAGGCATTTTCAGGACAGTCTTTAATTGGTCTTACTTCAAGACTTCTGGATTTCTTCTCTGGATGTAAACAAATGGATCGTGGACTTTAACGAACGAACGGAACTACAAGATCACCGGGCCTACTATTAGCACTGTTATCTGGGCAAATAATGAACTACTGCTACTACTAACCTACAACTACAGGTATTATGATCAACTGAATAATAAAATAGAGTTTTAAGTTAAAGTACTGAACTGTGTACTGACTTGGCAGGCAGACCAGGATCGGAATGATAATCACAGTGACAGACAAAGGCCTAGACTTCTAGATCTAGAATCTAGAGATTTCTTGCTCAAATTTCGCAAATTATAATAAGCAGAATCTTTATAATCTAAAGTACAGCGGACAAAAAAGACTAACTTGAAAACAAAACTCTAGTAGACCCTACTCCGTAGGACCTGGAAGTGAAGAAAGTCTTTCCCTTTCCCCAAGATTATCGAACACAAGCAGGAAGTGATTTGATCACCGATCAACAGTCAATAATCCCAAGACATGGGATCGCCCACATTTCTCGGGGTCAAACTCTGTGAAGCCTACGTAGGCCTAAAGTATGACTTGTCGGGAATGACGTGTTATCGCGATGTTCATAAACATTGATTATCATACTTCAAATCAAACATGTTCTGAATTCCCACTGAGAGAATTCTACAAAACATTCTTAATTTTTCTCGATCATGTTCAATTGGTCAGTACATTAATCTGATTACATACTGGTGACTATTTGAGGACCACCCAAGTCAATCTTAGTTCGATTGCTTTGTCAAAAGTGAAACCAACCAAGCTGATGTCACACCACAAAGGAAATGAACTCGACCAAGTTGCCAAGTGAACGCGATTGACCAATCAAATAACTCCTAGTCTGGAGTTGTCAAAGCTAGACAACACTTGAAGACCAAGTTTCGTATATTCATATTTCCAAACATATTTCTTACAACGCTGTAATTCTTAGCACATTGGAAATTCTAAAGCAGTAGTACACTCATTATCGGGTTTTTCTTCAGATTGTTTGATTTGAAGGGCATTGAGGTCGGAAAATAAACTTGGATATTTTCTATCAACTTGACCTTACAGCATGGGAAGATGGCGCGACTGGATATTTACGCGACCGACAGAGTGAAAGAATTTTTTCAGTTGTTTCTCGTTTTACAAACAATTCAACACTGTACAGTTTATGGAAGCACAGTGGAAAGTCACAACCAAGGTACAGTTGTCTCAGAAGGGTTTTTTATTGCTATTAAAGGAGATGAACTCACAAACAGTAAACAACGGCTCGAACCAATGGCAGTAGCCAATGTAACACAAGCCTAGAGAGAGGCCTCAGTTGGTCGTCAACACAAGTTCTTATTGTCAACAATGAGAACAAGATCTATGATGAAATGCCCTTTTCCTGTTTTTGTTTGGGGATGACAGTATTTATGTACGCTGTGAGCATTAGATTGGCTGCATATCAGCTCCTAGATCTATGAATTCAGTATGCTTTCGGGATAAGATCTTGATCGAGAGAAGTCCAGCCCAGTCTTTAGTTTAGTAGTTTTGCAAGCAGATGCTTGATTCTCTAGACTCTAGATCTAGATTTAGACTAGTCGGAGAGGATCAAGTGCCTACTTTCTGGCTCTAGAAATCTAGAGATCTACTAACACTTGTTGATCAGGGGATCTGGGCCATGTTGTAACAACACTCATTTTATCAAAGTTAAATTACTGTAGTAAGGAAGTGGCTATTCTCATCCGGGGTGAGAATAGAAAAACGATCTACCATTCTACCTCTCACCCCGGGTGAGACTTGCCAGCGTAGGCTATTCTCACCCGGTGCGAAACAAGACGTGCTTTTCCTCATTTTGGAATACTGTCTATCGGTGTAGATGATCAAATTGATAAAAGCCAAGAAAAAATTACGTTATAGCACAAAAGTAAGCTAATTTGATCGTCTTCAAAGATGCTATGGCTATTTCACTGTTCGAATCGAGCCGAACTACGCGGGTCGCCATTTTGTTTTTCCCGGAAGTTCTCGCAAGATCTACTCCTCCCCTCTCTCTCTCTCTCTCTGTCTCTTTCTGAATACAAAGTGGCTAGCCGTTCTTAAACTTAAGTACGGCTAGACTGCCAGTCTAGCCGTACAACTTATATATCTAGGTTTGGCCCTTCGACTCAGGCCTGTAAAGTACACAGGTCTCAGATCTAGATCTAGTAATTATTCAGGTTCAAATACATGCAAGTCAGTAAGGCACCTTTTGGTTTTGTCTGAAATACAAATACTTTAGGCATTGCAAACTAAAAATTTCATTTACAATTCAGCCGTCAATATTAAGTACGGCTAGACTGACAGTCTAGCCGTCCTTAAGTACGGCTAGACTGCCAGTCTAGCCGTACTTATCTTAGGCCCTATTAACATTAGAAAACAGGAGGTTTAAAATACATGCGCTGTCATTAATAAGGCACCTGGTTTCGTCTCAAATACAAATACTTTAGGTACTGCACACTAAAAATGTACAAAATTCAGTAGGCCTATTTTTTGTAAATGGTGAGTCTAGCCATCATATTAAGAATAAGTACGGCTAGACTGCGAGTCTAGGTCTAGATCTAGACAGCACACGAGTGAACACAACACATTAAGTTTAAGAGCAGCACCCTTCACAGGCATATCTCTAGCGAAAAACTGTTTGGAACTGTAGCATTTCGTTATATAAATATTTACTGCGGACATTTTTTGGACCGATTGAACCATATTGTATACAAACAATCTTTGGTAGGCCTATACTATAATTATAGATCTATATAATATCCTAAATTTGCGGGAAAGGATGTGATTTCAGAGTGTTCGGAGAAATAGTGCCCAGCTTTATTTTCCTGAACGTTCGGAGAAATAGTGCCTAGCTTTATTTTCCCGAACGGCCGGAGAAATAGTGCCAGCCTTTATGTTATATCATGTATAATAATTTAATACTTTGTTTTACGTACACACTTGTCGATTAATTTTTAAGATGTGACGTCTTTTATATTGTAATGCGTATTGAGCATCTTTTAGGAAATGGAAATGCGCAGTATAAATGCTATTTATTAAATTATGATTTAGGCCTAGAGAGAACATAGATCTAGATTCTAGATCTAGAATGTAGATCGAGAGAGTCTAGAGGGTTGATGCACAATCACTTCTTCTGTCGGTGTAGTCATAGAGAGTATGTGAGAGACCTATTCAGTTTCAATAATAGAAGGGCCTATAGTCCTATATATCTAGATCTAGAGTGTCTAGAGGTCAGTTTGGTTGGTCCTGCTCTCCATCTCCTTGGTCCTGGGCTATCAGTAATGTTATTTGTTTTCGACTAAAAATAGCAAACATTAGGCAGGCTACGTAGGTAGGCCTATGTATTTCTAAACCCAAACCCTTTATTTGCACTTGCAACTTTTTCAAAAGGAAGTGGTTATAAATTCTCACCTCAGGTGAGAATAACCTAGTTCTAGATTTTATCATGTCTCGCTATTCTCACCCCCTCCGTTGTTTTACCAGAAATGACCCAAGAGGGATCAGGGCTGAGGCTGATGCTACACAGGATCGTGTTGTGTCCGAATAGATAGATCTATTCTATATCTCAATCTAGTCACAGTCAATTATTCAGACCAAATATGGGCGAGGGCGTAAAATCGTTTTCCCTAGAATCTTTAAGCAATCCAAGCTCTTTTCTTCACTTTCATTTTTTAAATTTTAAAAAAATTATTGGCCGTCTTTATTGCGACTCGAGTCTGAATAAAAAAAAATCGAGTCCGAATATGAAATTATGAAAAAATGTTATTCGGACTCGGGTCCGGAAAAAAAAGAAGTGTCTTCGTTCTATAGATCTAACGTTCAGTGTGTCAAATTTTCCGCCATTTTTTAGTTTCCCCCACACCTTATCTGCTGATCCGATGCCCGCTGCCTCATTGATTCGCCCTCCCCCCCACCCCCCATGTATCCCACTTTCTTTGTTGTGGAAAAAGGTAAAATTGAAGATTAGCAGACCACCTGGCACCTGCATATTATGAGCTGTGTAAAAAAAAAAAGACCGATTCGTTCAAATACACAAGCCTGTGTCATCTCGATTGTTTACCAAGAAAAGTTGTGTTGCTGTGTAGAGCCGAGCATACGGCAACTTTTGATTCCATAGACCAGCGCACAATTCATTACGTAGATCTACGTCAAGACTAGCTTATTATTGTAATGATGATCAGTTGCCGGGGGGGGGGGGGAAAAGACTGACGCGTATGCGACGTTCAATGCCCGGACCGATAGTGCCTCCCCCCCCCCTCCCCGACACGCACACACAGCCACACGTGTGCAGGCCGCCCATCCGACCCCGACACACGCTAACGAGCCATCTTTAATTGCTTCTGATGACCTCTTGGCAAATAAACATTTATTAGAAGCGCTACAACTTTTCAGGTCGGCCTCAAATTCATCATAAGATAAAAATTCGGCTCCTGCACAAAACGCCATTTTGCCCGAAGTGATCCCGGTCTCTACCCAGCCTGAGGCGAGTCACGAGTGAGGCAGGACAGGAAGCCCGAGTCACGAGTCACAGGAAGTCGGAAGTGATGTCATGCTGGACAAGAATCAGAGTCGGAATAACATTTTTCATATTCGGACTCGAGTCCGAATAGTCACTTCGTTTATTATTTCTTTTTCTTTCATGCCTCTTCTGTCCCCTTCTTCTTGAACATTTGGAGTCTGGAGCCAAAAAAGAGCCAGAGAGCCAAATGAAATTCTCCAGGCCAGACGCGACCCAAAAGAGCCAAATTTACAACCCTTCAACCGTCATACAAGAGCATAGTCTCGTTACGTTTGTACACGCTCTCTGTTTCTTGAACCATATTGTGTTGTGTGCAGAGATGCCAAAAACAACGAATGGTCCTGCCGGCGGCAGGTCCCACATCCCGCTCAGTTCGGTAGTGAGCCTTTTTTTTTTTTTACTGGAGAAGCAAAAAATGTTTTTACATTATCATTACAATTATTCGTTCCCAACCACATGTGGTAAGCCACCAAGGACCAAGGTGATTTTTTATCGGCCTTCGAGAGGTCAGGGGGGGGGGGTCCTCGCCTTATGCCCACATTCGGGGTGGGAGCTATTCTCACGGGGGGTAAGAACAGCGAGACATGGGTTATTCTCACCCGGGGTGAGAATAAAGGTGGCCTTTTCAAAAGTGTTACTGTCAGATTATGGTTAGGAAGATGTAAATTGTAGTGGTTTTCTTTGCCTTGTCTAGTCAGCTGCTGCTACACAAACACTCTACAATGATGACGGCATCTTGTTTACTCTATAATTTTGTGTCATCTGTTATTGAAATCAGACAGAAGCAAATGTATAGCGTTTTTAAAAAGGTTCATGATATTTCATGACGAACTGGGGTGAAAAAAAAGAGAAACCTTTACGTCATTTCATACATGATATAGTACATAGTTGCATTGTACTGAAACTCATGGGCTTCTACTCTCTATGCAAGTTTGAAGCTTTTTAAAAAACTCTCTGGGCATGTTGCTTCCAGTTTAGATGCTGGCCAAACATCAGGCAAAATGTTGAATCACAGTTTACAAGCAGTAATAGTGTCATTCGTCTTGATTTGGAAAAGGAATTTGCAATTCATCTGAAATCGATGTGTAATATATATCCTCTACCACAGGAACAAGTAAAACTTTCCCATGTTGATAACCGGTGTTTTGTACAATGGCACCAAGAATAACATCAAGTTTTTATTTAACAGTCAGAAGACCTCTTTTGGTGTCCGCCTAAAACAACGAATGCCATTTGGAAGCAAGACTTGTTGGTTGATGCTTCTGATTGAAAATATCAAAGGGTGCAAACTATTCCCACCCCCACCCCTCGCCCAACCACCGTAATTATATACACACACACACACACACACACACACACACACACACACACACACACACACACACACACACACACACACACACACACACACACACACACACACACACACACACACACACACACACACACACACACACACACAGTAGTGTTATACATGCATGCCTGCAGAGGAGCCAAGACTTTCCTCACCCCAATCTGGAGACTTTTGAAAGTGCCTCTTTGCGAGAGGGTGTGAACTAAGCTCCTGTTGCTCAGTGTAAAGTATTTTTTAGCCAGAGAGGAGGTGTTTTGACGAGATACTGGAGGGCAGGGTTGCATTCACACTGAAATTTTTATTACCGATGATTTTTGGTGTTTACACAGTTTTTGACTTGTCAATTTTTCTTTGTCTGGCAAATAATGAGAAGCCGAAGTTGCTGTATTTTTAAGGAAAAGGTTGCTGTTAAAGGGGGTATTTACTTTTGAAAATTCTGAACAACTTGAGGTTGTTGGGTAGAGGACCAGAGGTTGAATAGACCTTACTGTACTTACTTTTAAAACACTTTAACTTTATTATTGCATGATGAGCAGTTTGTTTTTATTGTTGAATCATAGACTAATTGTTACTTAGAGCCTTACACTTGTTAATAATTAATTATTTAAAAGTCATTGTGGGAGAAGTATCCAGTATCATGATTCCTCTTGCTTCTGTCTCAAGCTTTCGTAACTTCTTTTTTTTACCTGCCAACCTTTTTTTTATGTTTTTATTTCAGCATTCATCCAAACAGACAAGCATCTTACATACATTGTAGGAGATAATTATATAAATTCTGGAGTTCCTTTAGAAGTAAGTATTTTAAGGTTATATATTATAATTATGCTGCTTCTCTCTTTTCTTGACCTTTAACCGTAATTAGGTACTGTACTGACAACTTGTAGAGATGCCTGGTGTAGCTACTATGTCTTGACCTTTGTGTACATGATCAACTAATCAGATAATAGAAGGATATATTATGATGTCGTTTTTGAATTAGTTGATAAACTGTTGGCTCGTACTCAAAGATTAGACGTCTCCATGCCTTTGGCATTGTGCCCTTGTGTTATTGTTATCATGATCGGTCAAACCACTTATCAGTGGATTGTGTCTGTTACTATTTATAGTGTTAAAAATTTATAAGTGTAAAGAGCATTCAGAAAATGTGTTTTAGTTTTATCTCTATACATTATTTTGCCTTAAGAGAATTTAAAATGTATTTTATTTAAATTTAAAAAAATTCAATTTTGAATTGATCCGAACTTGTAGGAAAATATTTTAATTTATGTTTATCGAATTTTTTACATTTCCAAAACATTTGATCATGTATACGTATATATGTTTTTGATTTTTTCCGTTAAGGCTAAGGAGCAATAGAGTATAAAAGCGAGAATTAGTTTCAGTGTCAGTTTGGCCCATCAACCAGTGACACAAAATAAAGGTTGGTTGTTTTAGTTGTTTTTTTTATTCTTTTAACATTTTTTTTTCTCACCAAGTGTCAATGTCACCATGCACTTGCTCAGGGGCATTCACAGGCATGTCAGCAAAATGCCTCTTTGCTTCCTTGATGAGTATGTGGTTATTGGTTATTGCATCTTTGCAGCAGACTCTGTCCCTCTTCACTCTCCTTTATGGGTTTAAACTTCTCATGTGTGCAGTGAAGTACAATGAAAATTTTCATTAAAAATGGCTGAAATTTCTCCGTGTTGTTCAAAGTGAGCAAAGCCTCTGTTCCACAGTAACTACTGGAAATGACAAACAGATGATGTATTGGGGGTTGTATACCAAACTTTCGTGCTTTGAGAGTTTGGGCCCAATCCTCAATCTTTTCAGAAGAACAGACACTGGATGGTTAGATTATTCCACATTATCATAGTATAGGTAAATCATTATGATTGAAAATATGGTATGTGTTCTCTTTCAACAAGTTGTGAAGTTTTCTTATTGTTATTCGTCCATGTATTTCCCCAGATAAAACCTGGTTCTTCTTTTCCAGATTTAACGTAAGTTCCAGATCTTTTGTATTGTAGCCAGTGTACTGTTGTGCCTTTAAGATTGCTTTTACGGTTAATATAGTCACGAGAATCTAAAAAAAAGGTTCAGATTTCAATGGTATATGTTTTGTGTTTTTTCGTTTTGTCAGGAAGTTGGCTGTTTTTTTGTTTTTTTTTAAATTAGTAATTATAAAAAAAATTGTTCCTTTTAGTTTTAGACTGAAGTTGAAAGATTACAGGGTGGAAAAAAAAATTAAAATGAATGTTGAATGCACTAACTGAGCTTTTTATTATTTTGATTTTTATCGGTCTTGGTTTGAAGATGCTCTTTTCAAAGTTCCCAAGTATTTCTTTTTCTCAGCACTTTTTTGTAAAAGTCCTGTTGTTCATTGATTGTCCCGTGCTCTGTCTGTTGTGTGTGTGTGTGGTTTGTTTTGTTTTTTCAGCGAGTCCTCTTTCCTTCTCTGTTCTTCTCATTATTTGTTTTTAGGTGCATTTGGTGTAATTAACCTTAAAAAGTAAGATGCTCTGGTATGAATTGCTCCTTCTTTTCTCTTTAAAAAAATGTAACATCCTTATAATCTCTCCTCCTTTACCTCTGTTTGTTACTCAACCCCTTTAATCTTCAGCACTTACATGACCTAATTGTGCTGCAAGTGCAGTGAAACATTTACTTAAACATAAACAAATATATATAAACAAACTTGAAATATTCAAGGGGTAAAAATGATGGCAAGGGAGAATTTTATCTAAATGTATTTTCATTTCTTTGGCCTTTCCTTTAGATTTTAGTTTTCCATTTGCATATTAAGAAACACAGTAAGGATCTGGTTTTATTGCTGTGACATGGATTTCCTGTTTTTCCTAGTCTTGACACCGTGGAATTTTCAGCTTAGTCAAGGGACATTGGTGGGAGGCTTTTCTTGGCAATTTTTTTCTCCCATATACCTTTATTATTGTATTATTATAATACAAGACTTGTCTGTTAGTGTTCCTTTCTGTAGTTTAAAGACTAACTAGTATTTTTTATTGAATTTTTTACGTATATTTTTTTTTTTGTCAGGCGTAAAAATTACCCGTTGGTGGTTGGCGGGTGCTATGGTGTGGTTTGCTTCTTCTTTCCTATCAAACATCTATCATCCTTATCTCCCCTTCTTCTTTTTTTTGTTTTTTTCTCTCTTGTAACAGCTCTAATCTTCTTGCGTTATGACCTTATCAGTTGCGAGCGCCGTAAAACCTCAACTTATACTAAACTAAAAAATTACCCTTAGGAACAAGTAACCTGTCGTTTTTTCATATAACATCTTGAAAAAAGCATCAGGTATAATAATTATATATTGTAATATTGTTACATATGGGGCAAAATAGGAACAGCTTGTGTTTCAGTCATGCTATGCTTTGAAAGTCTGTTGCTTTGCGAACATTTAGAACTTTTAACCGAACTGTAGCCAATAATCCAAGTTAAAAAATCTAAGAGAATAATGTAAGAGTTCTTTGTTGTTGTTGTTGTTGTTTTTTTGTTTTTTTCAGAAAGAGAAGTGCACATTTCTGTGTGCACACATGCATATAAAAATGTTTGCGGTTAAGTGCATTGCTGTTATCCTTGACTCCTTTTGTACACACATTGACGTTTGTTACACAGGATACGAACAAAGGAAGGACGGAAGGTTTTGTCTTCGGACATTGGAGGTGTTTGTGAAAGGGGGGAGGAAGTGGGTGTTATCATCTCCTCTGGCATGCAAGAATAAGGACCTTCTCTCCATTCATTTCTTGAAAATTTGGCAGGAAATAACAAATACGCATGGTAACACGGCAGTTTAAACTTAATTTGTGTCAGCTGTATAGACGACGTGGTTGTGTTCCTGTGTTGGTTTTGTTTTTGTTTTTTTGACGTTTTTCTATTCATCTTTCTCTGCGTTGTTGTTCCCATAATTTGTCTCTTCTTGTAAGGCGCCCTATCAGGGTTTCCCATCTCCACTTCTCTTCTCTCACTCTGTGCCCTGGGGGCTGAAAAGGAGTAGTTGTATTGAAATGCTTTGGCACATTAATCCAGCGCTGAATTTGATCGCCTGGTGTTTAATACGCCCGTATATATGAGCAGCTTTCCCTTCGCACTGAACCAGATTGCCCCAAGCATTACCAAGTGTTTTGCCCGTATTATATATTATGTATATTTTATATCCTGTTACGATCCTGCGCATACCCCCAGCAAGCACGAGTGTTAGTGAAATTTGTGAGTTGACGTATTTCGCTGTCATTGATCTATACCGGTCCTTTCTGTCCGTTTCTTTTCAGTATCACATCTATTATAGTGGCCTCTTGCAGTTTCCCCCATGTACACTTTTTTTTGGTCCCAAACTTTGAATAACCCTATTACGTGCATGGAACCATGCCGTAAAATTAACATTTTGCTCGCTTTTGGAGGGGGGGGGGGTGAAAACAGCCTTATTGAGAAATGAATGAATGCATGTACTTCGAAAGTGAGTGTTTCATTCGTTGCGTACACGCTGAGAGTAAATGAACAGAAACCAATAAAGAAAGAATATGAATCGAGTGCAGAGGACAAACACAGCATGGTTCCTGGAAATGGCTCCTCGTGGTAGCGTTGTGTGCTGAAGTTCCGTGTGTGGGTGGTTGGAGCGTATCCCCCCCCCCCCCTTTCCCCTAAACGTAGGTGGTTCGTGGGTGCTCTGATGTAGTTTGCTTCTTCTTTCCAAGTGAACACTCACCAGTCTTATTTAACGCTCTTCTTGGGTTGTTGGCGGATGCTCTGGTGTGGTTTGCTCCTTCTTTTCCTATCATACATGTATCGTCCTTATCTCCCCTTCTTCTTTTTTTTTATGTTTGTTACTCTCTTGTAACACCTCTATTCTTCTGGCGCGCATATGGCCTTTTATGCAGTTGCGAGTGTTGTAAGACCTCTGCTGAAACTTAAAACTAACGCTCTTACTTCTTTTCTGTGTATGTTACTCCCTAGTAAGACACCTCATCTTTGGCACTTATATTATGAACTATTTGTTATTGCAGGTGCCGTAAAACTCTCTCTGTCTCTCTCTCTCTCTCTGTCTCTCTCTCTGTCTGTCTCTCTCTCTCTCTCTCTCTCTCTCTCTCTCTCTCTCTCTCTCTCTCTCTTGCTCATATCTCGTTTGTTGTTGTTTTTTTTACCCTTGGTGACCTGACCACGACAGTGTTGATAATAATATTAAAAGTTTCTTTTCAATCCAGCTGCTGGCTGGGAGGAGTGGTGGGGGATTGACCTACTTCTCTGCTCAGTTTTTAACGTACCATGTCCCATTGGTGTGTTCCTTCATTTATTTACCTTCAAAGACCTTGAATAATGTTGTGGGTTTTATTTATTTTTAATTGCAACGCCGTCTCTGATGATTCCGGTTCGTAACGATTGTGTCAAATTTCATTGATACTTTACATCGTGTTTACGTCCTTACTTGCATTGACCGAAAGGTGGGCTTCTCTCCTTGTCTCTAGTGCAAAGGTGTTTAGATCGTCAAGTCTCTTTTTTCGTTGTTGTTTTTGTTGTTGTTTTGGTTCTTGTTGTGTAAATTTTTAAAAATTCTTTTATTTTTTACTGATTTGTTGCTTTAGGGAAAATCGTTTTTTTTCTCTTCTCCTGTGTTCTAGATTTATGTATACTATTGTAGTGTTTGTTTTGTTTTTTCTTGAATTTGACACCCCCCCTCCCCCAGTTCCGCGTGTATAGCTTATTGGTTTTGGTGCAACTGTATTATTTGGTTCCCTCTTCCCTGTGTGATTTCTGATGGGGTGTGAAATCCACATTACTGACCTGGCTGAAGTGCCGAAATAGCCTGTTTTCCCCAACAAGCTTTGTTAATCTTATGGAACAAAATATTTAGTCGTTTCGCTTGTAATAGTGCTATTTGTGTGAGTAGTTAATGGGCGTCAGGGGTTGCTTGATCTTTCCCTTTTCACCTCCCCTTTGTGGTTTGCCTTTGCCTGTCTCACTTTCTCCCAGCACTAAATGGCCGTTATTGGGTTGACGTACCTCTCTTTATTCAAACTGAAGACTGAAACTATTTAATGTGAGTGGTTGGCGGGTGCTCTGGTGTGGTTTGCTTCCTCTTTCCTATCCAACATCAGCTGTCGTCTCCCCTCCTTCTTTTTGTGATTGTTACTCTCTCGTAACACCTCTAATATTTAGCACTCCTTACTGTGTTGCAAGTGCCGTAAAACTCTTACTAAAACTAAAAACTATGACATTGGTTGTCAAGTATGCTAATTTCTATCACATGTGAGCAGCTCTTCATGCTGTGAGATCGTTATGGCCTACTGCCATCTTGCGTCTACATGCATTTTTGTTTGCAGGTTTGTTGGTTTTTCGGGGGGGGGCTTTTCCCCCACTCAACGCTATGATTACCAGGTTTGTAAGGTCGCATTGAATGTTGGGTGGGCTGCATTCCATGTACTGTGCCATCCGTCACATGTGTCAAGGTAG